TGCACCAGCCAATATGGTTCTATCTGCCTGCATATGACCTTCCTTCGCGCTGACTGAAGCGTTGAAAGGCGTCGCACTTTTCAACGCGTTCGTTTGCTGCTGTATTTCCGTGTTTCCCAAGCCAGGTCAGGCCTTAGCTACTTTGACTCGCGTCTCTCAACCCACCCGATAATTAGCTCTTACTAGTCTTAGACTCGCCTAGAAGTAGCCATTGACTTTTCGTAACATTCCTAACTCTCACCGCCAGCGTCTTTTACACCGACTTCACCCCAACTTCTCTAAACCAGAGCGACAAGTACAGCAGGAGACCATCTCTCGACACTACATCCATTGCAGCACAACATCGACCATGGCATTCAGAGCGATCGTCCTCTCATGCGTCCTCCTCCTCGTGTCGACGTCTGCCTTGGCGCAGCGTGGTCCGCCTGTCGGAGGTCCTCCCGGCGGGAATTTGACGGCCGATGTCGGCGCGCGGCTCGCCAACTGCTCCGCGGATCAGAAGATCCTTGACGGCCGATTCCACCTCGCCGTCTTCAAGTAGCCTCGCTGCCTTCCTTTTTGTCGCATAGCATCACCAGAAATCCCTAATCTGTTGTGCGCTTCCCCATTTCGTTTCCAGTCGCAAGAGTTTAGCACGAAAATTGGTTTCCGCACGATTTCTTCAACTGATAGCTTGTGCGGAATCTTCGAATCGTCGCGCGCTGATTGCGTGTTCCCCTTTCCCTCACCTGCCCTATTTATCTTCGCGCCCTCTCTCAGAAACGCCACCGGCAATTACAATCTGCTCGTCGAGGCGCTCCTGGTGGACGCGGCGGGCAGTCCGCCCGACTCGCTCGCGATCGTGAAAGGCGCCGTGTGCGACACCGCCGCGACGGGCGTGCTCGCTCTGCCGCTCGCCGCGACAAATTGGCAGCAGCGCGCGGGGTGGCTGCTGCACGCGGAGGCGCGCCTCGACGCGTTCCTGGAGAACGCGGACGCCGCCACCGTCGACGCGCTGCTCGCCGTGCTCCCGACCGCCTCGCCTCCGCCCACCAGTGGTGGCGGGCGCAACGGCGCAGGCAACGCTGGCGGAGGCAGCGCGGGGGCCGCGCGGAACGGGCAGGGCGGGAGGCGCATGGGGCGGGAGCTGCTGATGCGTGCATTCGGCCGCGCTGCCAGGCAGGGGGACAGAAGCAGGGGGGGCAGCAGCAGGGGGGGCAGCAGCAGCAGGGGGGAGCACAGCAACCGCCTGCAGGTGGCTTTTCAGGTGGCTTTCCAGGTGGCGATGGCGGAGTGAACGGCACGGTGAGCGGGTATGCTGTGCTGGCGGGCAGCAACGCAGCAGGTGTGACGTGGGGCGGGCAGCTCATGGGTGCCAAGATGCCCGCCGCTGCTGTTTAATGCATCCCTGCCGTGCTGCTGCTGCTGCTGCTGCTGCTGCTTGATTAGTCGATGGCTGATAGAGTTGAGTTGTGTAAACCAGGCTGATGCGGGTTGAAAGCACTGCTGCTTGTTGCATCAGTGCCGCGAGGATGCTTGTGGTGTCAGCTGGGTTCATGATGAACAAGCGCATGCAGGTTGCTGGCATTGCAGCTGACGGCTGCTCCAGTCGTGGTTGTGATTGTCTTGAGGGCTTCTCAGCCGTGTGTGTCTGGATAGATGTGCTTAGATTCGTGCGGAGTAGTTAGATTAGGTGAAAGCATCAGGGCAGGAATGCTGGCAAGGCATCAGGGGACACCAGCTGACTTGCCAGTCTTCCTACCCCTGATTGTTCCTCTGATGCTGTTCATTGCATTCAGTATTATTTGTGTCTGCGTGTCTTTGCAATCTCAAGTTAATCACTGTTTCCCTTCCTGTCAGTCATGTTTTGGGATAGCAGTAGTTACCGCCTGAAGCTAGAGATTAACAGAGCTACTCAAGCCGCTTTCTGTCAGCAGCAAGTCGCTTGAGGCAGGAGCAGACAATCCTTTGTAAGCATAATCAGTTCTCCATACAGCGATTCCAGCCATGGTGAGATCGTGTGCTCTATCCAGCCAGCCAGCCAGCACGAGGGCATGTGACGGGGGGAGGAAGCATTGCGCGGATAAGGGAGGGAGGGACACCTCTAGCTGTAGGCGCAGAGAAGGGCGTGCCACGTGGCGTGGTGATATTGGTTGTCGTGTTCCTGGACCTGTTTGCAGTGGGCATGTCCATGTCGCTTGTTACGCCGCTGATTAAGGAGCTAGGTACGATGCCCTTTCCCCTTGCCCCAATCCTTTGCCCGTTCCTTTTGCCCCCCCCTTTGCCCCTCCTGTTTGCCCCTCCCCTTTGTCCATCCCCTTTGCCCCTTCCTTTTGCCCCTTCACTTTGCCCCTCCGATTTGCCCCTTCGATTTGCCCCTTCCCCTTACCCCTTCCTTTGCCCCTCCCATCTGTACCCCCCCCCCCCGTCCCTCCCACGTGCCCCTTCTCATTTCCCCTTCCCCCTGTCCCCCCCCTATCCCACCCAGTGCGCCTTTCCTTCGCCTATTTCCCATTGCCCCACCTATCTGCCCTCAACATGCGGCCCTCCCCCCTGCCCCTTCGCCTGACCCTTCCCTTTTTCCCCACCCCCCTGCCCCTCAACCTGCGCTCTCTCTACTCTTCCTCCCCTTTTCGCTTCTCTACTCTTCGTTTCATGCATGAGCCAATTCGCTTGGTGCAGATGGAGTTTCCCCTGGCATAATGGATTCAATCTCCTTCAGAACTGTTTTTTAACTTCCTTGCAGTTTAATTTATAGCCCCCTTGAAACCTCCCTATTGCTGCTGGTGCAGAGAACTTGTGTCACTGTAAGAGAAGGAGGGCAGGGGCGAGCTGCTTGTTACTACTGGGGAACAACAACAGTGTAAGGGTGAGAGAAGAATGACACAGCACGTGACTTGTAGTTGCTACTGAGCTGATCTCAAAACAAAACAGATTCTGTGCACTCTCCCCTTGGCTCTTGTGCCCACTCCTGCATATATTAGATTCTGCTCAACTCATGTTCCTGCTTAGCCTGGTTTCACATAAATACATTGTCTACATTTCTCAACTCTCCCTTGCCATGTATGAGTTTTTGATTCAGGGGTTTTTGTATGAGGGTTCTTTGGTGTGATGGATTCACGCCTTTTCAACCCTTTCTCTACCTCCTTGACACTGCCTCTGAATCCCCCCCCTTTGAACCCTCCCTTCGAAAACCCATAACCTCCCGCACAACTTCCTGTTCAACGTCCTTTGCCATCTCTCCCCATCCCTTTGAATCCGTCGGTCGCCCATTCCTTCCGGTGATGGCAGCACCAAGCACAGCAATGAATGCACTCAACTCAAGCATATGGGGCCGAACACACCACCGCCCCGGCAACAGAGCCGTGGAGCTTGGCAGGTGAGACAAGTTCCCAAGCAGGAGCTAGCAGCGGGTGTGGATGGGCCATTGGTGTGGATGTAGCAACGTACCTATTGCTCCTCTCCTTCCCGTTTCTCTTCTCATTCCCCCTCCCCTACTTCTCCCCAGACCCCAGTTTCCACCCCAACGTTAGGCTCTGCCATGGCTGGTCTCGCCACTCGTCCCCTACATCGCATCGCACGCAATCCAATTGGAATGGTTGGGCCTGTGGTGTGCGAGTGTCGGCATCACCTCGCCGAGATGACGCCTTGTCGAGATGATGCCTTGCCAAGATGATGCCTCGCCAAGATGATGCTTCGCACCCGCCTCTGCACCACCGCCAGCAATGCTGCGGAAAAGTAATGATTGTCCCCCTAGTCTGCGCACTTGCGTTTCCTTCAACCCCACTTGTCCTTGCGTGCGTGTCATGCTTGCCTGCATGTGACTCCTGCCTGCCGGAACCATCGTGGATTCTGAATTATGTCCTTAGAAACCATCACTTGTCGCTCCGCCTGCCTGAGCCCTTATGCTATCCTTCCCACCACGGTGCTGCTCCCTTCCCTCCTTCGCTGTTCCCTCCCTCTTCCAACTCCCTCCCCCCCCCCTCCCCCCCCGCTCTGCACCTAAAATTCCCAGCTGATTTTTGTCTGCCATGGCACCTCACTCCCACCACTTCTCTCAGCTTCTGATACTGTTTCGCACGTTTTGTCCTCACTTGGTTTTGTAAAATTTCAAGATTCCTCTAAAGTGATTCAAGCACTGTTCCTTTCCCTCCTTTCTCCTCCCCCATCTTTCCAGCTCCGCACCTGCTTCCCCTACACCCACGCACGGATTCTCCGACTCCCGTCGACACGGGCGCACTGTTCGCATGCAACCTGTGAGCTGTTGATGTGGCTGCTGGGTGGCTCTTGGTGGTGCTGTTGCTCACAGACGAGCCAAGGGGAGAGTTTGGTGGATTGTGTGGATGGAGCAGTGAGCTTCCTGCATGATACTATAAAGTCGCTAGTGGGGTTGGTTCGCGTGTGGCGCAAGGCTCAGCCAAGTTGCTGGGTGCTCTGAAGCATATTATGTTTTTCGTCAAGAACAAGCACCGGGAGGGAGAGATTCGTGGTGGTGAGGAAGGAGGGCGGGCTGTATAATGGGTCCTCTGCTGCTGTTGTTCAGTGCTGCTGTTCACGGGTACGAGGAACGTGGGCTAATCATGGGTCACCAGTGGGTCAGTAGCAGGTCACATTCACACTTGACTCTCAGGTCACTCTCAGGGGTTTTCCAGGTGACTTGGAGAGGAAGGCTGGAGGGGACAGGGTGAAGGTTGGAGGGGCTGTGGATGAGAGAAGTCGCCTCGCCACTGATGGCATGATTCGTAGGCTGCCTGGTGGTGATGTTGGCGTGACGAAGGAGGGCGAGAGGCATTGGCGGCAGCCGTGGGGAAGTTTTGGAGAGGAGAACGGGAAGGGGGGCGAAGGGTTGGTGAAGGGGGGGCTGCTGATGAGCTGGCGGCCCACTGAGCGACGACCTGAGGGGTGGAGATGTGTACGCGGGAGATTCACTCAGGAGAAAAGTGGGGAAGATTTAAAGAAAGGTGTTTCTTAGGTCACGCGCACGTGACCCTCAGGTCACTCTCAGCAGGTGACTTGGAGAGGGAAGGCTGGAGGTCACTGATGCCATGAATCGTAGGCGCTGTCCTGGTGGTGATGCTTGCCACATGCAACCTCGATGGAGAGGTCCTCCACGCAAGCACGCTCAATATTGTCACCCTTACTTCCCCCTTCTAAATTAGGTCCTGTGTGCAAGTGGTGGGGGCACGTGGTGTAGGGGGATGGGGGCACGTGGTGTAGGGGGGTGGGGGCACGTGGTGTAGGGGGATGGGGCACGTGGTGTAGGGGAGTGGGGGCACGTGGTGTAGGGGGGCTTCTGGTGGGGCACGTGGTGTAGGGGGGTGGGGGCACGTGGTTGCAGGAGGGTGGGTGGTGGGCCACACGTAGGTGCGACACCCACCTACCCTACCATTTTCCATTCAACCCCAACATGCCTTATCTGGTAGGCGCAAGGCCGTAATCGCCTCCCTTGTACAGAGAGCTGTGGCTAAAAAACGATTGTGTTTAGGCAACTTTCAGGAGTGTGCTCTGTCAGGTCTTACAATTCATCTTCCTTGCATTTCCACACCTTTCCACCTCCCTACCTTGCTTATCATCACCTCTCCTCTCTGCATGAACCTATTTAGCAGGCGCAAGGCCAAGATCACCACTCTTATGACGTCTCTTGTTGAGGCCTTGGCGGGTTCTCGCGGCACTGTGCTCTGCCTCTTACCGGTATGACCGATTCACGTATCCTTGGCCCCCCCGCAACAGCTAGGAGCTCTCTCCACTCAGTTATGGAGATTTGCGCGCAGCATGGATGTATAGTGAGTGGCAGTCTGCTGCTACTGTTCGCGAAGATATCTGAACATCGCAAGTCTTCCTTCTTTTCCCCAAAAGTGGCGGCATGTTCCCGTTGTTTCAACTGACGGTTTTTCTGGGCAAGAACCTCGTTTCAGAATTGCATCTGCTGGATGTGTGTTGATTTGGAAATTCAGAGTGGCCCACATATTCACCCCTGTCTTATGCCATCCATTCCAAGGAAACAGAGTACCTCCAAAGGTATACCGGTACCTCCTGAATATTTTTCACATGCTATTGTCACTGGTGCAGATCTTGAAATGATGTGTATTTTCTACAATCAATGCTATACAAAACACATCCCATCATGCAAAGTACAGTACCTTTGTTCTCTATTCTCTCATTCTTACTCTTGCAGCCGAGCCAGGCAGTCCAGTCTCAACTCATGCAAATGGTCTCACCCAAAAAGCAATGCACCTGCTGCTGTCCAACTGCACAGCACGAGCCACAAAACCAGTCCTCCCAAACTCTCTGTAAGAT